TGCTGGGATTACAGGCTTGAGCCACCATTCCTGGCCTTTTTTTTTTTTTTTTAATAGAGACGTGGGTCTCACTATGTTGCCCAGGCTGGTCTCAAACTCCTGGGCTCAAGAAATCCTTCTGCCTCGGCCTCCCAAAATGCTGGGATTATAGGAGTGAGCCACTGTACCCAGCCAGAAAATACTATTTCATAATAAGAAGATGCACAAGAATGTTGGGACAGGTGCAATTCTACTTCCAAGTTAGGAAATCCTGAGGCTACCAGGCTTAAAAAAAAAAAAAAGAGCTGGGCATAGTGGCTCACGCCTATAATTCCACCACTTTAGGAGAGCAAGGTGAGAGGATTGCCTGAGCCCACAGGTTTGAGACCAGCCTGGGCAACATGGCAAGACCTCGTCTCTACAATAAATCAAAAAATTAGCCAGTCGTGGTGGCACGTGCCTGTGGTTCCAGCTACTTGGAAGGCTGAGGTGGAAGGATCACTGGAGCCCAGCAGATCGAGGCTGCGGTGGCCGCGAGCGTGCCACCGCACTCCAGCCTGGGCAACAGAGTGAGCCTCCCAACTAAAAAAATAAATAAATAAAGAGGCAGTGAATGAGGACATTATTCCAGGGTGGGCAGCTGTGAAGCCGAGAGACAGCAGCAAACTCAGGCTGACCAGATTTATCACTACGTGGATGGAACTAAACAGAGAAAGACGAGGTTTCAGATGAAGGGTACTGAGAGCTATTCAACTATACAGGAGAATGACAACCATTCGAACTCCTTTCCTCACCAGTGCATCAATAGTTGATGGTTTACTATACTCATCAGTCACATGTTTACCATAGTATTTTTAAATTAATAAGAGAGATAGAGGTACGATGCCAGGGACACTTTGTCTTCCTTGGTCAGGGCAGGGGTTGATATGTTTCTCCCCACTACTCCTTTCTTTCCTACCCATAATATAAAGTAGGGTGTAATACTTCTTTCATCTTGGCAACACCCCATTTCCCAATGCCCTGGCACATGCATCTGTACCTCAAGAAATGCTTCTAGGAACCAGTGCTGTTGGCTATGCTCAGTCTCCTTTTATGACAAGTTTAAGACCCAAGAAGAAAATAGTTGCTCATGCTGGGAAAACCAATCCTACTTCAGTGCCCCCTTGGCCAGAAACAGAACCGGACTTTTCAAGTGAGCAGAAGACCAGGTGTCAGCAGACTCGGGTTCTGGTCTTAGCTCTGCCACCAACCAACTGTACAGTTTTCTTTTTTCTTTTTCTTTTTTTTTTAAAGAGACAGGGTATCACTCTGTTGCCCAGGGTGAAGTACAGCGGTGTGATCATAGCTCACCACAGCCTCAAAGTCCTAGGCTCAAGTTATCCTGCCATCTCAGCCTCCTGAGTAGCTAGGACTGTAGGGATGCACCATCAAGTCCAGTTATTTTTATTTTTATCTTTTACTGAGAGGGTCTCACTATGTTGCTCAGGCTGGTCTGGAACTCCTGGCCTCTAGTGATCCTTCCACCTCGGACCCTCAAAGTGCAGGGGTTACAGGTGTGAGGCACCACATCAGGCCCCAGCTGTACAACTTTAAACAAGCCATTAACCCCTCTGTAGTTTTTTCATTTCTTCAACTGTCAAGTAGGGAAAAGGATACTTGCTATACATAATTACATACATGTGCCTTACATATATAGTCCTGCACATCGAATGAGATAATAAATGTGAAAGCATACTGAATGCTGCTGTCCTGAGGTAAGGTATTATTTGTAGCAATAGAACCCAAAATAAATAGAGAATACTCAGAGCCAGAGAGGAAATGCTTGAAAGAAGCTTGTTCCTTTTCAATCACTGGGAACCAGGCCCAGCCCGAGGTCGGCTGGACAGCAAGGTGGTAACTCTGCATCACTCACATTCCCTACCAAGAGTCCATTCCTACCTGGAGGAAAACTACCAGCCAGCAACACTGTCAGCCTCTTGCCCTATTGTCAGACTCTAAAACCACTGTAGAGAAAGGCATACGGCTATCACGGGCCAGTCTCCAAGAAGAGTGGCCCATTTACAGCCACATTCGCTATCAGGTGAAATGGGGAGGGTACCTATCAATCCCTCCGGTAAAACGCCCTCACCGTCGTGGCTTTCTGCTCCTTCTCCAGCTCCCCAGATCCCAAGTCCTGGGTGGGGAAGGCGAAGAGCGCGGAGTGCGAAGCGGTGTGTGGTGTGTAAAGCCTGGGGGAGGGCCAGGCTGCAAACCGAAGGCAGGGATTGAGGAATGCGAGATTCCTTCATGGAGGGCTGGGAGGGGGAGAGGAGCGAGGAAGGAATGAAAGAGAAGGACAAGGCTGCCAAAGACAAGGCAT